AGGTAACCGTTTGGCACATCGTTTCCCTAAGTGGCCGGTTGCCTAGACCCCTCTTGTGTGCTTCTGTACCTTCTCAGGCAAGTGGCCCTGATGGCTTCCTCTTGTAATTATATTTCTATAAATTGAAGACCGTAAGGTGGCGAGTCAAAGAAGTGAAAAAACAACATTCTCATAACATTTTGCCAAGAAACAATCTTGAAAAAGCGATCGGTGCCAACTTGCAGCGTTCGCCAAAATATTTCTGAAATGCCGACAGCATGGGAGTTCAACGAGGGCGCAAATCCACAGCATTCAGTGTGAAAACCTCTTTCATGTCCAATCGAGTTCCTGTGCATATTGACAGCTCATTTTAAAAGAATCGTAAATGATATACCATCCGTAACACGTATCATGTTTTGTCGCTAGGGAGAGAATACGGCAATGCTTTCAGGAAGAAGGAAGAATATTTAAAGGAAACTACCCACACAGCAGCCATATATTTCAATGGCTTCTGTGCAATGCCTTTTAGAAGAACTCGCCCGTCTAGAGGTGACCCTCATGAGGAAGTGCGCATTTGTTCTAATAATGAAGGGGCCATGAGATGTATGTCGAGCCACTGACGTCACACCACTTCAGGAAGTCAGGAGAAATAACAAGATGACTGGCGAGTACATCTGTCTGAGTTATTTAAAAACGGGGAGACGCAGATTCAGTGCGTTCGCGCCTAATGCAAAAATGGGTATATAAAAGATGATGCACAAAACACGAAATATCATGAGTGGAATTACAAAAAGTCGAACTCGTCGTCTAATACAAGGTCCAAGGATTGCGGCTTCGCGTCTTCATTTTTCGGACCACAACAGACGTTCTTGTAGCCATGCATTCTGTGTGAGAAAAATTACATGAACGCAATAGTGGCTCTGTGTTATTTATGTGACATCTGGCAGATTTTAATTGGTGTGAATGCTTAAATTATGAAGGTTACGAATACGCACACACAATACAAACACACACACACACACACACACACACACACACACACACACACACACACACATATATATATATATATATATATATATATATATATATGTATATATATATATATATATATATATATATGTGTGTGTGTGTGTGTGTATGTAGTGTGTGTATATATATATATATATATATATATAATATAAATATACTGACATGTTTTTGTATTAATAGTCAAGTAATGGAGGAGTTCATGGGTTAATTGTCAGTAACCATGATAATTATGAAGAATTCTGTTTGTACATTGCGTGTGACTGTGCGATTGTGATTGTTTGAGTGTGTGTGTGTGTGTTGTGTGTGTGTGTGTGTGTGTGTGTGTGTGTGTGTGTGTGTGTGTGTGTGTGTGTGTGTGTGTGTGTGTGTGTGTGTGTGCGTTAAATCCTGGATACAGGGAAGATGAAACATATTTGGCTAGCCTCTGATTAATGCGTTTTCCCTGCTGACCTCATGGCCTTCCCGCCCCTATTCCCAAGGGGCATCGATCCATCCCTAAAACTTGCCTAACTCGCCACGCACGCTCTGGGAGAGGCAGTCAAGAACGTTTCAAGTGGACCAGATTAGCACTCATCGTTTTTTTCCGTCTGTGATGATACTGTCTTCTCATGAACATGCAGGATAGCACACACATGAAGACTGTGGGTATTCCCGCCATATGTGCTTCGAGTTTCTCCGCATTCTCATACTCCCTGGGGCTTTCCGCTTTGTTTTTGTTTTCGCATTGTAGGATAGGTTGTAGGATATTTCCCTCAGATATGGGAGGGAATGATTGCATAATCGGCCTTACCATGCCATTCGTTAGGATAATGTACTTCTTCCACCTGTGTAATACGCACATCCCAAGCCTTCGTAAAGTTATGGCGCTGTGTGGTGAACAAGGTGGGCGGGAGGGGATGAGGGAGGCCTTGGCAGTCCGCCCGGGGGAGAGTGGGTAGAGGGGGTCTTCTCTCATGGCTAGCTTCTTGGACCTCAGTACCCTCCTCACTCTGGCCGAGAACGCTGTCGCACACTCAGTGTAGTGTCGCAGCGAATTGGCCGAACTGAACTCTGCAAGCCCCTACTTTCCTCATCGGTTGCCTAACCTCGGAACCACTGCGACCATTCGGACGATCACGAAGCTGTCCCAACCGCTCTCGTAATCAGCCGGCAACCATCGATACCCTTCCAACAACAGTAGTCATATGACAACAGTACCACACAGTGAGTGTACAGACCATTCACCCTTGTTCTTGTATCCAAGTCAGTCTATATGATATCAAGTCCAATCAATACAAAATAATTACGTATTGCGCACCTCTAAGGTCTGTCACTCTGAAAGAAATTCGGCGTCCCTCATTCGAATGATTATCATTTTATCGCATTCTGGAGAAGATTCATTCAGCCAGATCATCATTCTTATCAAGCATTACAGTCCTAGATAAACTCCAGCGCCGAAAGATTGATAAACTGTGATTTGCTTAGATTTTACAACCGTCTTTTTTCATGTGACTCTTACCGCTGTGGGGCAGATGGCAACACAGTAGAAGAGGTTGGCGGACTTAGCCTCCCTTAAATCTGAACGTCAGTGAACAGCGAGGTGGTTACAGTAGGAAACGCGAAGAGGGAGGGAGGGGGGGGGTGTCACGTGATATCTTGATGATGGGGGATGCCAAGGATTCGTGCGACTGCGCAGTTGCCGATGCATTATTATGGCAAATGACAAGCACAATAAATTCTAATAACTCGGTGATTGTATAGTTAGATTATGTTTAAGCGAAATGTGCGGAAATCTTAGAGAAGATAGTAACTCGAACTGAGACCTTACGCACACATACATGAATTTATACTAATATATTATACAAGTATTCCGATTTATATGATTTTTTAATATCATATATAACATATAAATGCTATATAATGATACATATGAAAATATATATATATATATATATATATATATATATATATAGTGTGTGTGTGTGTGTGTGTGTGTGTGTGAATGCGTGCGTATGCTTTACATATACATATATCCTTTAGTCTTACATTTTTTGTATTTTTAGGACATTGGCAAGTTTATTAACACGATTCTTTTCCTTTATCTACCTTTCTTTTCGTCTACTAATCACGAGAGACAAGAGTGTAGAAAGAGATAAGTCGATAAGCAGGAAACAGATAACAATGCGATCGTCAATTTAACCCAACCCAATTAGTCAGCTCGAGGCGTCTGTGCGGAGGTGAAATACGGTGACAATGTCGGGTCCTCATCTTTTTTTGCTGTTATTCTTTTTTTTTTTTTATTAGTTAATTATTATCATCATCATCATCATTTTCCATCATCATATTATATTATTATTATTATTATTATTGCCATTATATATTATATTATTATTATTATTATTATTAAATTATTATTATTATTATTATTATTATATTATTATATTATTATTATTATTATTATTATCATTATTATTATACATGCTATTAGAATAACAACCATAAATATGGTTGTCATTTCTACATCATTTTAATCATGGGCATTAGTTTTACTATCATTTTAAGACAATATAAATATTACAATCAGTTAGTCATCACTTACACTCATTAATATTGCAATATTGCTGTTCACTCTAAATGATTAATTCTAATTATGGGCATTAGTTTTATTATTATATTAAAATATTAATATTACAATCAGTTATTCATAAATTACTCAGTATAATTAATTTCAAATATGTATTAACTACACCTTACTATACTACAATATGTATTATCTATAATAAATTAATATTACAGTCCGTTATGAATCGCTCTCACTATTTTGATTACGATCTTGCAGATGCGAATACTGTTCATCAACATCTGTGTGGCGGTGGTTGCTTTGGTGACCATCCGTGCACAGTCATCGGAGGCAAACGACTCATCTGGTGAGCAACAATCGAATGAAGGTAACTGGTGACTGCAAACGAGGTTGTTTATTGCTTATTACACCCTTTGACTTTATTTTTTTTTTTAACGTGGTTATATTCATTGGCGCGTGCGGATGTAGGCTTATGCGTATCAATTCTGCCTCTGTCTGTGTAATATAAAAATCATAATAAATTTTAATGTTTCTTCTATGTTGCAGTTCAACATTTCCTTGAGACGGATGAGGGGAAGAAAATGTTAAACCTTATGAACAAACACCTGCAAGATTCACTGGTTTATCTGTATACAGTAAGTGCGCAAATTACAAGATAATTTTGATCTTTATTTCGTATTATAGTTACGATATTTTGGTTGGGTAATGTACATAGAACAATGCAGTAATATTTATGATTGCAAATACAGTTTGTAACTTCCACGCATGTTGGATATAGATGTTGATGTAGATTGATAGGTATAGATGTACTGTTAAAATAAACTCTCCTACCCAGAGTAAGCAGTATGACAGCCAGTATTGGGAGCGCCCAGGTATGGCAAAATACCTAAAGGAACTGAGTGATAACCAATGGGAAGAAGGACTTGACACACTGAAAAAGTACATGCAACGTGGAGGAAAGATTGACGACTTCAGAGGCAAAGTTAATGTAAATGCTAAGGTGAGAATTTCTTTTTTCCGTGAATAGTTTCAGGACTTCAGTGTAAATAATTAATAAACTGTAAAGTACTGTAGCAAAGTCATTTAATTCAACATTTATATTTGAATGCATTTCTACCCTACAGGGCCAGCTTCATTCATCTAAACGTGAAAATAAGTACAGCAAATTGCAGCAGACTTTTAACAAGATCCACAGAGATTCCTCGAATAAGTTTAAGTTGAGGAACAGGCTTATCTCGAAAACTTGCACGCAAGATGCAGAGGTAAGATTAAAGATCTGTTTTGCGATTTGTTTTTATTTCAAATGAACATATCGTCAAGATTTCCTTCATATGATATTGAAGAGAAAATTAGGTATGGACGAAACTAAATAATTAGGAGGCAAGAGAGGGAGTTAACGGATTTAAAATAATCTTGGATGCGGTCCTTTCTATACCTTATACTATACTTTGTGATTCGTTCCCTTTCCAGCATGCTTTGTATTTGCCAAAAGAGAGAACTGAGCATATTCTCAGGAAATCATAAAGCAATTGTCATTTTCTTCTAGATTTGTCACTACCTTGAGGAAGGTCTCACCAAAGAGGCCGAGAAGATGTACGAGGTGAAGCAGCACCAGATCATTGCATCGGGTTTAATATCCACAGGCGTGGGTCTCAATCTGTTTGACGCCAGTTTGTAAATGCCACTTGTCTTTCGGTATTTTATTTAGTTATGGATTCCTGTATAGTGAGTTGTTTAAGTTTTGCTGCTGCGACTTCTAGCCAAAGCATAATGATATTCAGGCACTTTTTGTGTGATTTGAAGTTTTTTTTCACTCGATAGGACATTGTTTCTTTTACTGGTTGCTATCTTCTTTCATTGCTTTAACGGTTGATTGTGTTAGCTGTATTATTATTCCACAACTTATGGGTCAGTATAACACATTTAACATTGTTAAGAACAATTATCGCTACCTTTCATGATGAACTTCATGTAATACCAACTTTCAATAAAACGACAGAAACAACAAATATCTGGTTTTGATGACACGTGCATCAGAGTAAAATTTTAAATGTCAACTTGTGATCTAAAACGACATTATCATTGCTTTTGAAATCTAGGTGAACCGAACTGGTATTGTGACTTACAGCACGTACCAGTGGATATATGTAAGGCAAACCTACATAACCTGACCCAAGATACTAATAAATCCTAACCCAAGTCAGGCAGACCAAAGTGAAATGTATCTTATCTTATCCGCCTCAAGGTATAGCCAATGTGAGCGTGAGCTATACCTCCATCAATGTATAATAAAATGATATTACATGTATTAATCTAAGAAGTTTGCAACAAGAGAAGAAAAGAAAAGAATGAGTATTTGCTGGTATTACTTAATATTCATTACGTCATCATATGGTAGTATATCAGTGACACTGGATAATCAACGCGCCAGGAAAATGCTTGTTTTTGCCAGTCATTTCACCAGTTCCAACAATAGTTTAGATGCTTCAAGTACTTGGATGCGTATGTTGGCTAGTAATTAATCATCACAAAAATTGAATATTTAATAACGCCGTAGTACAGTACGTGGGGAACGATGGAAGGATAAGCTCCTAAGAACAAATACGTTTGTCAAACGATTTCGCCAAAAGATTGCAGGGTAATTGGTGCTACTATATACCTAAAAGAGCTTCTTACTACACCATAAAAGAGAAAATCGCGTAACCGGTAGGAAATCGCAACCGACACTCTCCAGGATTGCTAGACACGAACGCTACCTCTCCATTTGGGGATCGTGACGAATCATGACAAAGTTTTAAGATTTTAACCAGTTAACTCAACCTTAGGTAACTAAATGAAATTTAATGAAAGGCTTTGTAATTCACACTTATCTTCAGACATTTAATGTATGAAGCATGGGATTCTGCTAATTAGATTTTGGGCATTCTTAACACGCCATTCTTATCTGCTCTGGGTTTTTGACATTCCTTTTTTCCTTGTTTCCCAGAATGGCGAATTAAAAACCCTTTTCCTTAAACACGCTTTCTGAGCTATGTCAGAATCTGAGAAGCATCCAAGATTTGGAGTTTTAGGTATATGAAAGTACATTATTATTTTTTTCTTTTTGATATTTTCTGGCTCATTTAACTTTTGATATATCTATTTGCAGCAGAGTATTACACGCTATTGTCAGGGGGGACGAAGCGAGGACAATCAAGTTAAAAAGCTATTTTAGGGGCATTTTAAAGCTACAACTAGCGTTACATGGATGTAATTTAGGCAGAAAATAATAATAATAAATAAAAGTAATGACAGGTGGTAGGGGTGTGTCCCTTGGCAAATATAGTCTTAGGGGGGACAGCCCAGTGCCTAGTAAGAAAAATTGAGCACCTCAGCAGTACATAGTAATAATATGGTAACTATATTGCATTTTTAAAGGGATAGTTACATTGACCGTTTTGGCCAGGTCTAGGGGGGGGGACCCTCTTGGCCCAGCCCAGTTTTAAAAAATGTATTTCGGTCTTTATTGTATCCATAAAAGCAGAATTGCATTGGAGGACAAGAGGTACGGAGCCATGGCTAAGTGGCGTTAGCCCTCTACTATTGATAGTCTGTCATCCAGGTAACCTTCCCTCCACTTTTATTTCGGGTAAGTGAGGGTGACAGAGGTGGCACCCGCCTAGAGTTAATGCCGGATGTTTAGCCTCAGACGGGCGGCCATCCAGGTTGGGGCATGGAATATCCAGTCTGTGTTAGGGTGACGGAACTACCATAACTATCGAAGGGACTAAAACTGAATATAGAGGTGTCCACCCTCATAGATGTGAGAGAACTGGGAGCAACATACTTCATGAGGATGGTTAAACCTACTACTAGTCAGGCTGTAGCAATGTTACAGGAGGTAGACACAAGTAACTACAGTAGACTTTAGCCTTCAGTAGTAGAGGTAACTCTTGTCGAAGAGTTTGTAATAGGACTGAGAGCAAACCATCTGTTTGTATGTCTTATCGCTATGGCCTTTTCGCTATTATAGCGAAAAGGCCTCTGGCATGTTCGTGTGTTTTCTTGCCCTTCCCTTCGTTGTTCCTGTTGCAATCTGTTCATCATGAATTCCACACAATTGCCACAAAAAACTTCCATCCAGCTAGGATGTTTTATATGAACATATTGAAGTGTGTTCTGGGTTTTGCCAGGGCTATCTCCAATCGTTTCATAGCACTATACATTCTGACGGACCCTGTAGCACTGTCAGTTGCAAAATGCATGAAGCAATTCAACAGTCCATCAATAACTATCTAAAAACATGGCAGAACTTTGTCTTGCAGGTAATATTAGAGACAATGGATGCATGTTACATTGTTTGGCTAACAGGAGATTGAAACTTTCATTGATTCCTGACACTGCCGAGGATGGACAAGGAGCAGCATATCAGGAATCTTGCAAAAGAGGTTAAAAAAAATGTTAGAAATAACCTTTGTGCTTACCAACCCCTAAGAAAGCTACTGAAACCCCTGTGCTCTTGTAGTCTGGAGATCCTTCATCATCTCAGATGGGTATTTAGAGGAGTTTTCTGGTTGAACCACCAATAGTTATCATGGACTGGGTGCTGCATGATTCCAGTACCTAATATCCAAGGTCTAAAGAAGTACTCCTTTAGACCATGCTTCCTATCCTAACAAAAGCCAATAAAGCAATCTTCAAGCTGAAGGTTGGGAAAGCAGTGGGTATCTGTGGCATCTCTGCTGAACTGCTGATGTCTAGCGGTGATTGAATGGCTCGTGGATTGCATGCTACCCTGGCTGCCGTCAAGCAGTTGGGCATCTTTCCCCAAACCTGCTGAGGGATATGGCCATCCCACTCTGGAATGGGAAAGAGAATTGCCAGTGGTGGCATTCTTATGTTACCAAGAAGGATGCTTGCACTACTTGCATGAATGGATAGAGATCAAAGTTTTGACTTTTGGCAATGTAAGTGTTAGGATATGTGTGATCTAACTAATTTTAGCAATTTGAGAGGTGATTTCTAATAGTTCATTCTCCTCACTACCTTGCTGTTTCAGGAAAAGATACAGTATTTAACAAAATTGTAGAATTTTAACATTCTACAATATACACTCAGTGTTTCATCTGTAAGTAGTAGTTGTCCTGTATTGGTACACAATGGCTTAGTTTGTTAAAGAAGTTGCAAACAAACTATGATGGTTCATGAAATGTGAAATGATAAAGTAAGTGCTGGATATGTTGCAAAAAATATAACATTTCCTCACAATAACAGTAAAGTGTAGCCATAAAATTGTAAAAAAATGAGTTAAATAATGTAGGAGGTTCTTAATGAGCATATTATTTCTTCAATTTAATTTTTTTCTAGGTTTAAATCAAAAGGAGAGGAAGTATCTACTACAGACAAAGGGCAGGGAGTGAAGTGGAAAAAGTTGTTATTGAGATAATCAGAGTGAGAAAAAAAGAATAATCATATTCATAAGCATATTTCCTGATTTTAATTTCATAAATCAAGACACTGCAGATATAGATAAAGATATGATAGCAGGAGTATTTGTTTAACCTGCACTGAGATATTTCTTATCAATATCACAATGTTCATTTGCATTTAAGCAATACGTAAGCATAATAAGGATAAAAACCTTGAAATATCACACAATACATTTTGCTAACACAGGAATACATAGAATCATAGCTCAATAATAATAACATAATCTCACTGAATTTTTTGGTAGAGCGGTGAATAAGGAACAAATTTAAGAATAAACATTGACAGAAAATATAGAGACAGAAATAAGTCAAGAAGTTATTATTATCCAAAGGATATATCTGAAAGTCATGTATGACTTCTCTAGTATTATTTATGACATATCCAGTGCAATGGACAATATGCTAAAATCATGCTTCAAGAACGCGTATGTATGACTCAATTTTTTTTTTTCTTCATATATTCGAGATAGAAATATATGGCAATATATTATAAATATAATCTAACTATGCAAACAACTATGATTTAAAATGAAAAATACATTAAGACAGACATACCAGATATAAGAATAAATGTTGAAGATTACAACGATTGGTCCCTTTGAATCTATAGATAACATAAATGTTCAAATTTGCACAATATTCAGCTGTATGACCTTTTATTAAGAGACTACAGCTATTCTTTAATATTGCAGACATAGGAAGGAAACATAATTCAATAGACACTGTCACTGTGAATCAATATAATCGATTTTCTTGGACTACTAATCCATAAATACCTGAGGTAACCAGCGTACTTGCCTTATCCAAAAATTACAATTGTAAAATAATCAGCCTCTGTATTCATAACAATGCAAGAGTAACTCAGTTTTAACCTTCTCGTATGCAATTTGGAAAAAAAGTGATTCTGTACAAAACAAAAACATAATGAAGCAATGAATAATCAATGGTTTTAAAATCAATCTAGCAATGATTTTCTACAATAAAGTATATCACATTTGTTTTGTATATTCTATTCCATACGTGCATACATCACATTCATATCATCAGTATAAATATAAAATGACCCTGCATATGCACAAAGGACCCCATATCTAAAGTCAGTGATCTAATTAGCCTTGAGCAAACTAGTCCCAATCACCGTCACTTGCATTATTTTCCTCATCATTTGTTTCATTAAGAGGTGGTGGAGGTATGATTGCCGCCATCTTCTCCATTGTTGACAAACCCTCAGTTCTTCCTGGATTTTTTGCTTCATCAGTCACAGGTTTTGGTGCTCCTGATATACCCTTTAAAGGCAATACAGCAATTAGTAAAGATGTTAACTAAAAAGGATACCAATGTTTTGTTCACCTACAACACAACTATCAAACTGAACTTTACCAGAATAATAGTAATAAAATTATCTTATACACACATATTTCAGAACAAAATTATGTAAACACCAAGTCTCTTGTCAACATTCTGCCATTACATACTTTCCGTCTTTGGGATAGTCTGCTGAAGAGGTCACTCATGAGGTCACCACCTGTAGCTGCTGCTGG